GCTGCTGAAATTCCCGTGGTATTTTGGGTTGCCCACACACACACACACACGCACGCACACCACCACGGCATGTAACGTGATCACTTCCGGCAGGCGGCATCTCGGATTCGAGAGATAAGCACGATGGCTGCGGCAGCTCCAACTGCACCCCTGAGTTTCGCCTTCCAGACAAGACCACGCACATGTCCGAGGCAAACCGCAGCAATGTAAACCACCCTGAATATGCCGCGGCATGATCTTCCACCTTCGCATCCGACATGAGGAGAAGATGCCCGGTGCTGAGAAGGTCGCTTGAAGACAGACCCCTTCTACTTGGCCTGCTGCGCATGCCGTCTGCAACAATTCTTTTGCCTGTCATATCTCATTCAGATGTGCTTGGGGTTCAAGCTACAGCAGCAATATTTGTCAAACGCTCTAAGCCAATACGGCTGTAATCATAAATGGGAATTGGACTGATGTAGTTAATCAAATAAAGCAAAGCAGAATTGATAGTGCAAAGATGCAGTGAAACGCTGGCTCTATTAGGATTATTGTAGATACTCACTTTAGGAAAGGAGAGAACTTCATGATCAAGCCGACAAAGCAAACGATGCAAACATCAAACCGTTCACTTCAACTGTTCTCCGCTCTTTCAAGAAATCGGGTAGCGGTTTCCCCTGCTTCCGTCGCCTGTTTGATGCTTGTAATTTCACAGGTGGTCTGCAGTACTGCCGCCATGCGAATGTACTGAAAGGGGAGTCACTTGCGTCTTTTTTCAGTGTCACTTGTGTCTTCTTTTCTATGTCACCTGTGTCTTTTTCTTCTTGCGACACAACAGTCTCGAGCGAAAGCCCTGTTTTGATAGCCGTCGACTGGCAAAAAGCTTCCAGGGTTTGGGCCTTGTTTCGTTACGGTTTCGGTCAGGGTTTACATAAGCTGGAAAGAAACCCGCAACCATAAAAGTAGCAAACCCTGGCCGAAGCCCTAAACGGAGTAAACCCAGACCGAAACGTATATAAACATATATATGCATACATGTATCTATATATATATATATATCTCTGTTTTTTACATGTACATACAAGTTTGAACATATCTATGTATACCCTACATATATATATATATATGTGTATACACACATATGACCCCGAAACCCCTCACACAAGTAAAAGGTACGCCTAAAAGAAACCCCAGGCCGAAGCCCTAAAAAGAGTCAAACCAAACCATCATGAAAGAAGGCCCAAACCCTAAAAACTTGAAAGAAACCCGAAAACCTAAAGAGTAAACCCAGGCCGAAGCCAGCCCTAAAAAGAATGAACCCAGATCGAAACCCTAATGAAAGTAGGCCCAACCCCTAAAAGGACCAAAAAAATGTAAGCTTGAAAGAAAGCCGAACCCTTGAAACCTAAACGGAGGAGAGAGATCCCCAAACCTTAAAAACAAATAAAGGTAAGCAGGTAAGCTTGAAAGAACGCCGAAACCCTGCAAGGAGTAAACCCAGGCCGAAGTCTTAAAAGGAGTAAACAGACCCCGAAACCCTAAAATAAGAAGGCCCAATCCCGGAAAGGAATAAACGGATCCCGAAACCCTAAAGGGAGTAAACCCAGGCCGAACCCCGAAAAGGCCAGACCGAAAGCATAATGAAAGACGGAGTAAACGGACCGAAACCCTAAAAGAAGTGAAAGGTAAGCTGGAAAGAAAGCCGACACCCTCAAAGGAGTAAACCCAGGCCGAGGCCCTAAAATGAGTAAATCCAGACCGAAAGCCTAACCATAAAAGAAGTAAAAGGTAAGTTTGAAAGAAAACCGAAACCCTAAAACCCAGGCCGAAGCCTTAAAAGGAGTAAGCCCAGACCGAAACCCTAATGAAAGAAGGCCCCAAGCGAAACAGCAGTAAACGGACCCCGGCTCCGAAACCCTAAAAGAAGTAAAAGGTAAGCTTGAGAGAATCCCGAAACCCTAAAAGGAGTAAACCCTGTCCGAAGCCCTAAGGGGAGTATACCCAGACCGAAACCCTAATGAAAGAAGGCCCAAACCCTGGAAGCTTTTTGCCAGTGGACGGCTCGCAAAAAAGGGCTTTCGCTCGAGCCTGTTGCTACGCAAGAAGTAAAAAGACGCAGGTGACACAGAAAAGCAAGACACCAGCGACACAGGAAAAGAAGACGCAAGTGACACAGAACAAAAGACACAAGTGATGGGCACTGGTGCCAGAGCCGCAGCTCAGGCTGTCGCGGATCGAGTCTCAGGACGGCGGAGACTATGGCACCGGTGAAACGGAATGACGTCTGAATTTGCCTAGTACAGAAGCAGCCTTCATCTCATGTCTGGCATCCTCCCGCATTCGTCGGCGGTGTGCTGTCGTGTACAAGACGGTCCAAAAAACTTCCTCCAGCGTGGAAAAATGGCCTCAAAACCTGATGTGACAAGCATTTTGCTCTATGTCGCGACCAGAAGTCTAGCAATCGAAACACTTTTGAGCAAAATTCCCTTGGGTGCCTAGCTCGAAACTTCGACACGAGGAAGCCATTCCCCAACCCCCAATGCACCACCTCGCCGATGAGATCCTAAGCATGTAGCGAATGGACTCTCAACACGTCTCATGCGACGTCTCTGACTGCGGCATTTTTCGACATAAGCCTTCCACCAAAATGACGGGCAGCAGCATACGCACGGAAGCATGGCTACTATAATTGCGGTCGTGCAAAGTCATCCACTTACCGTTAGCGACGCACCGCGAGCGAACGCACAAGCGTCCCTGGCATGAGCGGACGATACATGCACAAGCCTACAGGCCCTGCGCGACTGCTTAGCCCGGCATATTGCCACTGTAATTGAAGCTATTGCTGAGCACTCCCCTGCTGCAATGCTCGGGCGCTTTTGAAGCACGTGGCGCCAACTTTAGGCGGAAAGCAAGGAATCTGTGAACAGCACCAGGGAGCAGCGATAACATCCTTGCCAGAAGGTCAAAGGGGTTTGTTGTATTGACCCAGACTGTTCCAATTTCAAAGGCTCCTTGCTGGTCAGTCGTACATGACCGTGTAGACAACCTCAGCAGGAGAGTAAAACAACAGAAGGTGCCAAACTTCCAGCTTGCTGCCGATCTGCCACCACAACTTTCAATGTCAGGATGCTTCGTAACTTGAAACTGCACAACCCAAACAAAAACACGTCACTGAGACTGACACGGGACTATACCGGGGACCAGGTCCCGAGCCAGGAAAAGCGTGAGGGCGAGAGCGTAGGCTGCCCAATTCTTGACCTCAGCGCCAGAGCCGAATGCAATGCAAAATAGTGCGAACAGACTGACGGTCTGGCATTCTGGCTGCGGTATTCAAACGAAGGATGACTGGAGGGGTCCTTGCAGCTCCCAAAACAAGACCACCCCCTACGGTGCGGGTTCAAATCGCCTTCATCAGCTCGGCACACCAGCGCGTGTCCCGGTGATCTGGGCCGTGCGCCAACCTTCCAGCACGTCCCCTGCGAGGGCTCTGGGCCCTGCTGCCCCCCTCCGCCCTGCTCTGCCTTGCGTTCTCGTGCGCCTTGCGTGCCCATTGGACGGCCATAGGGAGGTCGCCTCAGCGGCCCAGGCCGAGGATGCCAGCCGTCTTCCGTCTTCAAAGTTTTTGCAAACGTGTGTTGCTGCGTTCTTTGCGGCGGCGGCACCCCGGCGCAAGGCAAACTCCATCGCCGAGAGGCAGTGCCTCGGTCTCGTTCTCCGTAAAACTGAAACCCTAAACCGAGAGCAGAATGACAAGCCCCCGAACCGAGTGCCCGTCAGCTTTCGCCAGCTGAACAAGCCCAGCCCTTCCTCCGAGGACATTCGCTGTCACTGAGTCGAGCAGGCAGTGCGCGGACACTTCCGGCAGACCAGCACAGACAGTCCTGGTCATACAATCTCAGCAGCCTCTTCACCATCTGCAGCAAGCTGAATGAAAGCAGTTGGCTTGGTCGATTTCTTGTTCTGACCTTGCGGCTATGGCCCACTCCTGCCGTTTGACTATTAGGGCACGGCTGCTCCGTGCTTTGCTGTGAGCTGCAATGACTGTCACGGCCGGCCCCAATACGTTCAGTCCTCGCATTTTGTGTATGCATCCGTAAAAGAAGGAGAATTTCCCCGGCCTGTATTTTCCCGTTCCTGTGGCAATGCTTTGTTGTTGGAAGGGGGGAGGTCGTCGTCGTCGTCGTCGTCGTCGTCGTAGTAGTAGTAGTAGTAGTAGTAGGAGTAGCAGTAGCAGTAGTAGCAGTAGCAGTAGCAGTAGCAGTAGCGGTAGCGGTAGCGGTAACAGTAGCAGTAGCAGTAGCAG